ATCTGCTACCTTAATATTAAACCTATAAATCTTAATTTTTCTAAACCATCTCTTAATTTTTCAAATGGGGAAGCTAAGGCCCAGAAAGGGCAGGGATGTGTTGGCCTTCCATTCGCTCCTTCCTTCCTTTATCTAACAGATACTTATCAAATGCCTACTCTAAACCAGGTATTCGGTGCTGAGGATATAGCTCAACTCACTCCCCTTGTGTCAATTCTGACTCATAGGACAGAGTGGAACTGCTCCTAGCGGTTTATGAAAATGTAAATCTTTACTGGAGCAGAAAGCCTCATCTTTCTCCCAAGGAGTAGCTGGTAGGTTTTAACTGCTGACCTTGGGGTTTGCAGCCCAACTTGTAACCCACTACACCACTAGGACCCCTTTTACTGAGGACATAGTAGTGGACAAAACAGTGATTCCTGCCACCTTTCAGTGGAGGGAGATGGACAAGACAAGTCAATAGTATACTATGTCAGAGGACGATAAGAGCAGCAGAGAACCACAAGGCCAGGAAGCGGGTCAGGTCCATTGTCATAAAAGTGCCATTGGGAAGCAGACTCCTGATCATGAAAGGCCCTGAATGGATCTTGCAGGACCCCTGCCCCTGGAAGCCATTGTGACAGTGACTCAGGGTTCTAGAGCTCAGGCCTGGGGGTGGACAGAAGGTCTGCAGAAGGGGTGGAGGAGAGGAACCTCAGTGGAGTTAAGTGGGTGGGCCGTAAACGCCCTCCAAGGGGACAGCACAGCCCAATGTGTCAGAAGGGCCACAAAGACTCCCTTTACCTTTGTGATGGGTAAGAAATTTATTTCGAGGCCACCTTGTCTCCCTGTTCTTGGACCCTCACCCCACCCCAGTGCTGTTCAGTCTTGGGTGATACCCCTTTTGCTATTCTTCCCATCCTTGGGAGCACTCGGTTGTTGTGTTATTGTCAGGGGCTGACCACTCATTTCCAGCCCACAGTGACTCTCTGCACACAGAGGTCCAAATTGCCCCTGTGTCGCAGCGAGCAGCGGGCATCCTGAGGAGCTCGTGTCACGGGCCCTCGCTGCCCAGGGACACCACGTGGGCCTCTTTGAAACTGGGTTCTGGCTGGGGAGGGGTCTGGCGGCTCCCGAGTCACATCCCTGTATCTCTCCCTCAGGACATCAGTGACCAGCCTCCATGAGGCCCTGGACCAGTGCATGACTGCCCTGGACCTCTTCCTCACCAACCAGTTCTCAGAAGCACTCAGCTACCTCAAGCCCAGGTAAGGTTCAAGTGCCAGTCAGGGGCTGGTGTGACACTCATGGCTTGACTGTGTCCCATGGGTTGTCTTGGAGAGAAACCCTGTGTAACTGAACTTTTCAGCTCAGTTCTAGGTCACCCTGAACCTTGGAAGACCCAAAAAAATGGCTCGGCCTTGCCCATCCCCTAGTCTGTGAGCAGCCAGCTCCCCTCC